CACAAACACAACTCACCATCCACTATGGCTGCCAGCTTGAAAATTAATTAATTAAGTGAATCTTAATTAATAAATTAAGTGAATCCCAGGCCCTCCCTGGTGGTGCAACAGGTTAAAAGCACAGCACTATGAAAGCTATCCAGTCACTGCAGCAGTTCAATCCCCAGCCACGGAGGTGACCCACATGGAGCAGCAGACCTCTCCTGACCCAACCACTACTCCCCTCAGCGGTGTTTTTCAGGACATTACCTGCGCTGTTCCCCACTCTGTCTTTGGTGAATCCTCTCACCCCCTGCACCTCTGGCCTGTACCCCACTTCTTGTATGCATGGGCAAGTAAATCTTAAAAAATAAAGAAAGAAAAAGAAAATTAAGCAAGTCTTTTCACATTTTAAAGTGTGGACAAATTCACACAATTTCAAAAATAGTATATAAATGAAACTTTAATGTTTTATTTTACCTTAACTACGTGAGTCATTTACATACAATGTAACCATTATAAATATACAAATCTTTAAGCCTGATATAAGAGCTGAAACCATAAAATATATGAAGAAAACACAGGCAAAACACTCTATAACATACATCTCAGAAACATCTTTGAAGACAAAGTAAAGAAAGTGAAGGAAAGGATAAACAGCTGGGACTACATCAAACTAAAATGCTCTGTGCAGTAAGAGAAAGTAACCAAAATGAAAAGCCACCCTATACCTAAAGATTAGGAACAATATTTGCACTCCACACAACTGATAAGAGACTTTTATCAAAGATTTATAAAGAGCTCACACAACTAAACAAAAACAAACATTCCTATTAAATAATGGGCAGCAGAACTAAAAAACACACTTTTCCAAAGAAGCAACGCAGATGGCCAACAGGCATGAGAAAATGTCCAACAACACTTATAATCAGGGAGATACAAATAAAACTCACAATGAAATAGCACCTCACGCCAGTAAGAAGGACACACTTTAAAAAGAAGCAGCAAATGCTGGCAAGGATGCGGAGAAAAGGAATCCCTTGCCCCTTACACTGTTGGTGGGAATGCAAACTGGTCCATCCACCACAGAAGCTGTGGCAGACCCTCAAATTATTAAAAAACAGATCTACCATATAACCCAGAAGTCCACCCAAAGGAATCTACAAAAGCATTAATTTGAAAGGAAACCCCAGGACTCCTATGTTTATTATGGCACTATTTACAACAGCTAAGATACGGAAATAACCTATAGCCCAAAGACAAATGAGTGGATCAAGAAGATGTGGGATGTGTATGTGTACACACACATACACACACCCCTTCAATTACAAAGTTATTAAAGCATCAGTGCAAGAACCCTGGAGCAGTGACTTCACCTGTTCTCTGCACACAGCCCAGTGCCAAGTTATTGGAGGAAGAGCCCAGAGAACTACTGACAGCAGCCTACATGTCTTGATCAAGAGAATATTCTGTGTCTACACACACACACACACACACACACACACACACACACACACACAGTGAATACTACTCAGCGATCAAAAAGACTGACTCATGCAAATTTGCAACATGTTGGGGCAGGAAGGGATTATGCTCAATAAAATAAGTCAGAAAGAAAAAGATAAATATTGGATGGTTTCACTTATAGGAGGGGTCAGGGGGAAAAAAAGACAAACCTAGGAGGCAAACTAAAAGCATACAGCAGGGGAAGGGAGGGAGCATGATAAAAACAGGGGGCGGAAGCACACAAGAAACTACAGTGACAGTTCACGAGTGATTTGATGGTGGCAATTTTATTATAATCACACCTCAGGGAAGAAATCAAACATTATACAAAAATAAACAACAATGTAAAAATATAATAAAAATATGTATCTTTAAAATCTGGAGAGTAAAATAATGATTTGTATTTTACATGCTTTTTAAATTTTTCAAAATTTTCTACAATCTACACATTAATTCTTTAAAGAAAGAAAAATGTTTTCTGCATCTACATATTTTATTTTTATCTCTAATTTTTTTAAAAAGATTAATTTATTTATGTATACTGCAGAACTGGGGTATAGGCCAGAGGTGTAGGGGCAGTGAGAGGAGTCACCAGAGACAAAGTGGGGTGCAGAACAGGTGGATCAACAAAGTATACTGCTGAGGGGAGCAGTGGGCAGGTCAGGAGAGGTCTGCCGCTCCATGTGGGTTACCTCCGGAGCCGGGGACTGAACTCACACTGAAGGGGCACCACCAGAGGGCCCCTTAATTTTAATTGTAGTGTAGAATATGTAACACCAAATCTACTAATTTAACCATTTTCAGTTGTGCAATTCAGTGACATTAAGTACTGACAGATTCGTAACATGGTCTACCATCTCAAACGGCCATCAAACAGTAACTCCCATTTCCTTCCTCCCTCCAGTCCTTGCTCTCCTCTATTCCACTTTGTTTCTGAGGATGCCTATTCTGGGTCTCTCATGTAAGTAGAAATATTCAATATCTGTCCTTTGTGTCTGGCGTATTTCACTTAGCATGGTTTCATGGTTCATCCACATTACAGAATGTATCAGAATTTCATTTCCTTTTATGAGTAAATAATATTCCATTGCATGGGTATACCACATTTTATTTATCCACTCTTTTATTTTCGTTGCTTCTGCCCTTTTTCTTATAAACAATGCAGCTATGAATACTGGTTGGTGTACAAACACCTGCTTGAATTCCTGCTTTCGCATCTTTAAGGTATATACCTAGGAGTTGAATCACTGGATCACACAGTGATCCTACTTTTTAACTTTTTTGATCAACCACCAAACTGTTTTCCAAAGCAGTTGGGCCATTTACACCTCCCCAACAATGCCCCAGGGTCCTAATTTCACCTCAGCCATAGCCAACACCTACTACTCCTGCTTTTTTGACAACAGCCTGACCAAGAATTATGAACAGGTATCTCACTGCTTACGTGGATTATTTTTATATAAAAAAAAACTAATAAAAATATTTGTAATGTTTTCTGATGTCAGGTACTATTCTAAAGACATATTATCAATTCATTTAGTTCCTGTAAAAGTCCTATCAAGTACTATTATTCTCATTTGAAGATAATCAAAGTGAGGCACAGGGAAGGTCAGTAACCTACTCAGATACCGGTATTACAGTATCCAAAAAAATAAAGTAAAAATACAGAGAAACATGAAATGAAGATGAATAATTTAATTGTCAGATCAAGCCACCACCATCAAACACTTAGATGTATTCCCTTGGTACTGTTTCTGAAGAGAAGACAACAAAACAGATTGTGTTTGTCACTTGCAAGCATTTACCTGTTGTTATAAATACACTGTGAACATTATTCATAATGGATGCACATTTAACTTTAATTTAGCCATCCCAAGTTAACTTAATTTTAGTCATGTTATCATGAATTCAAACCACCCCTACTGATCACATTCAGTGATCTCCTCTACTTTGTTTTTCTTAAATACATTCTTAAATAGGTAGCCCACTGAGGAGCACAAGGGTCTTTGGAGAGGGCTCATGGAAGATGTGGTAGTGGGAGATATATGGGGACTAGACCTTAGTGGACAAGTCAAGTATGAACAAAAATGAACAATAGTATAAGAAAATTAAAAAGTTTAGTCAATGACAATGAAAAAAAAAAAAAGCCCTTTCCCACTGCTCAATAATCAGAAAGTCTAAAAAGCTTTATAGTGAAAATCTCCCTCTTGCCTCCCACTTACCAACAAGTATCCACTCACAGTGAAGGCTCTTATCAGGGATTTTTTTTTTTTTCCATTTTCAACACAGCTTCAACATCCCTTTATTAATCCTCTCTATGGGCATTTGCTTGTTCAAATCTTGCTGTGATAACTATTTCTGCAGTAAATAACCTAGTACATATGTCTTCCTAAAAGTGAGCCTAAATGCATTAAGAATCTTTAGAAACAATCTCTGATCACAGCCTCTACGTTAACCTTCCCAGAGCGTAAAAGCTCAGCTGTTTCAAGGGCAGGAACAACATTCACTACCTATCTTACACAAAGTAGTAATGACCTCCACGTACAGGTGTACAGCTGCTAAAGAACATCTCCACATAATTCCCTTCATCTCTGAACTTCAATGTGCCTCAAAATTACATGGAGGCCCTATACCCCCACTTTCTGATTTGGCAGGGCTGGGGGGTGGCCTGAGAGTCTGCATTTCCCAATGGCACTGTGCTGATGGGTCAGGAGGACCTGAGAATCATGCTGACAGACAGAGACAGCTCTTGAGCAAAAGCAACAGGGGCCGTACAGGGTGTCCCAGAGTGGCAACATGGCAATTTCTGTAACACAAGTTTTCTGTGAGTGACCAAAGAACACAGAAGTCTAAAAGTGAAAACTTAGAAAATAAAACCACCTCCTTCTCTAAGAAAACTGGGGCCCTCCCCAGTGGCACAACAGAGTAAAGCACCGCATGGTGAAGCTATCTGCTTTTTCCTTTCCCAGCCAGGGAATGACCCACATGGCACGGCAGACCTCTCCTGTCTCCCCACTACCCCCCTCAACAGTGGACTTCGTCGATCTGCCTGTTCTGCTCCCCACTCTGTTTCCGGTGAATCCTCTCACCCCCGCAACTCTGGCCTGCACCCAGTTCTTGTATACATAAATAAATCTTTTTTAAAAAATGAAAGAGATAAACTGCCTTCCTCGAAAGATGAACTGACTTTCACCTTTCAAAACTGTTTAACTCCATGATGGGGCTTTTATTATCCCTAACCTGCATCTTTCAACTCTGCTGTCTACTCCAACTTTGCCACACACAGATAACAACACAGGTAATCGATAACATACAGCAGCTTTAGTGGCACAAGCTGATGAAATGTAGAACACAAACCAGCATCACCTCTATTCCTTATAAGGATGTTAAACTAACTTATCTTGAATTTTAACATTTTACTTAGCATGCTCCAAGTTAAAATTCTTCCCAAAACAGAAAGTTGAACCCTGTGTAATAGTTTCAATTCTAAGTTTTAAAGAATCTTCCATACTCACCAAAACCATCGATATCTAGGTTATTTTCAACCACCACATCTAGCAGGGAGTCACCAACTTTGCCTTTGGTTGTTAATGTTTCACCATCACGATTTATAAAGTGGACAGTTATTTTATCTTCTGAGCTGGAAAAGGAAGCAGTCCTTTATTATTTTTTAGTCATTTCTCCAGATATTTTTACTGGTGTCAGAATTTGTATGTGTGCATATGCTTCAAATAGGCTTTTTATGGCATTTTGTTTTCTTTTACAAGCAACAAATATGTCCCTCTCCCCACCTCCCAGGAGGGAAACGCCCATCTTAAAGGAAAACACAACTGTGTCACGATCAAGGCCACCTGGAAAATGAGTGTCTCCAGAGGCCATGACCCCAGGTCACAGCACATTTAGCAATCACTGTCACTCTCGCAGTCTATTTTGCTCTCTTCTCACACAGCTCTCTAAAAGTCCATGTTCCCAGGAGCGTGTCCCTGAGCGATCAGGTCAAGGTTGAGCTTTCAAACACCCATCAGCCAAGCAACTGTGGTGCAGCGTCTGCTGGGTCGCAGCTTGAGGGGTTTCTGAGGGCTGAATATCTATCACATCTAGACCCATGCTGCACCCCCAAAACTGAAGGGACTAGGAAAGGCACTTGTTGGCCTATTTGAATCTGCAGGTGGACAAATAAAAGTTATCTTTACAGGCCTTACTGTAGGTTAGCCTATTATTTGTGGGCTGACTTTAATTTCTTTCCCTGTCACAAACATTTGGAAACGACACCAAACAAACTGGGAAAAGCAATGTGAGCAGTTAGATCCTTATTCTCAACCACTGGTCATTTTAATTTTTACCTCACTATGGAAAAGACCCACTTCAGCTTAAAGGAATTCATTGCCGTTTTCACTGCTGCCAACAGATGGTGACAGTCCAAAGAAAAGGTTAATGTAAGTAAAACCTAGGATTAAATAATTTCAAAGCTATGAATATCTTACAAATTATCAAGCCAAATGATCTTATTTCACAAAGTAACTGAAGCCACCAGCAGATAACAGCCTCTGAAAAACACAGAGGAAGAGAGTGTGTGTGTGTGTGATGTGAGGGAGGGAGACAGGCCAGGGGTTGGAGAGACCAAGTGTCTCTCTAAAGGGTCTGTGCTCTTCAACCACTTGTTTTAAAATAAATATTCTGAACATTACTCATGATTTTCAAGGTAGCATGATTTAGAATGAAGACACACTCTGGAAGTAGGGAATCCACTTTGAAAGTTATTAAGAGGACATAAGTGAGAAGGAAATACTGACCGAAAAGAACTCTAAGAGATTAAACTATAATGTGTCAGTGACTATATAAAATAGAATTAGGGGAGGGGGGACAAAATTTCCAATTGCAGCAAATTAAGCTAGGGTTAACAGAGGAAGAGAAGGGGCTTTGGGGGAGGTGGAAATGAATTCAAGTTTAGAACTGTTTATTTAAGAAACAAACATAAAAATGCCCCAAAGTCTGATGAAAATAAGGGTCTGAGCCCAGCAGAGAAGTTTAGAGATTTGACATCAGACATGGCCTAGAAGCCGAAACTACAGGAAGTAATACCAGAAAGAACTACCATCTGTCACGTACTCAAGGTCAGTGGTCTTAAGATTGCTGTTATAGCAAAGTAATCTCGCTTACATCTGATGATTCTTCTTAACGATCAGGTAAATTTAAGTTCTGACAATTGAAAAGTATCTCATACATACTAGCGCTCAAGAAACATGATGAATAACTTTTATTTGAAGCCGAGTGCTTGGGTTGTGCAAAAGTCTGAACTGCCCCTGCTCCATACTGAGAGGATACAGGAAAAGCCAGAAAGGGTTCCCAGCAGGAACTACAGAATAAAAATAGTGAGTCTGAACAAAGGACAGGCGGAGGAAGCAGAAAAGAAGGTAATTCTGCAGCTGCTGTGCACGTAAGGACCTTGGAAGCAGAAGATGCGGGGACCAGCCCCGGTTCTGACCTGTCCCTGGGGAAGCCACTTCCTTCTTCAAAACAATAGGGACAGTGGTGGCTTTACCAAGCAGCTTGGGACAACGAAAGGAGAGAGTTCCTCAGAACATACTTTATCCCAGTAACTTTAACACTCACTCTCATGCTGATGCTAGTGAGCTTTGCAGGGTCCCCACCGCACCCCCAATTGTAAGAACTAATGGAAAGGTTTGTGTTGTTCTCAAGGATAAAAGTGCATGCACTGGGAAATAAATATGATCCTTCTAAGTCCTCTATTATCAATGCATTTGCCATCTCCACACCCTTTAGGTGACAACCTGGAGCACCTGGTTCAAGGAAGGGGCCCAGGGCTGGGCTCCCCACTTCCATAGTCCCCTTAACTCTTCCTAAGACTTAGCCTGCAGGCTAAAGAATTCTTAATAGAAACTACTTGGGTCCTAGTCCTAGTTTTGCCAGCTACTTAATATGCAAAATATTATTCCCGTTTATCTACCCACCTACCTCACAGGATGGTAAAAAGTAAAGTATGACATCAGTATCTCGGGCTCAGAGCAGGTTTCTGACTCTCAACTCCTGATAGCATATTTAAATGTTAAACTTCAAAACCAGAACCACGTCTAGAGAGCTCTGTCCAATCAAAGGTGGTGCAGTAAGGCCGAAGTTCTATGCCTACGACTTCAGGATTAGAAACATAGCAACCAGGAAACTCGATTTTTAATTTTATTTGACTTGCATGCTTTAAACAGCAACATCTGGTTGGTGGTGATCCTACTTTAAGTAAGAGTTGGAAAATCTAGAAGTAATTCTTGTGGAAACACAACGCCATTGATGGGAACTGTGCAAACTAAGGGTAAAACTGGAGATAACTCCCATTAATCACTCCTGTAAGTAGTGGTTACACACTTTCAATATATGTCCCAGTCGTTACAGGATATATCTAGAATGTGTCCACAGTAGAAAACAAGGCACGGAGGGTCAAAGGCAGGGAGCAAAGTGTTGGGGAAACAGGGACAAATCAATCTGGCTTGTCTTCTTCATTATCTCCTGCAAAGTTCATGCCGCACAAATTTATTAATCACAACCTACAGTAAGATTAGGGGGGCAATGAGTAACTCCTACACCCTACTTATCAAGAAAAAACTAGAAAGTAGCAGGCAAATCCAACCCTCTCCCTCCAGGTTGGGGGGGGGGGGGGTGAGCCACGCGTTCAGAGTCCACATTTTATAAGCCTCCACCCTGTTATACTTTCTGCAACTATGGGTAAATTTTAGCTCTAGTCTATTTCAGGGGATTTCCTTTTGAAAAAGGAAAAACTTCGCCATCTCTTTGACAGTTGATACAAAACACTCAGCCACATGGGCTGAGCTGCTGCAAACAGGTGGGAGCTCGTGTGAGCGCCCTCACGACGTGCCACTCACAAGACCACCCCTTCACCTCCCTGCATCGCCGCCCTGATTCTTCCGGTTACCCCACGACGCTGGACTCCCGCGATCCTCCACCCACGAGTGTGGTAGGAAAGCGAAGGTTACCGAGGCCACCAGCCAGCTCCGGCAAGGGCAGCATCCACCTTACACCTGCCCCGGCGCTACCGCGGGGGCTTAGCTGCGAGGGGGGCCGGGGGAGGGCGGGGGGTGGATGGAGAAGCAGAGGAGCTCAGGAAGGTGACCTGCGGGCCCCGGGAGGCGGGGCGCGCTGAGCACAAGCACAACCGCGCGGCTCTGCAGCCGGCACTGGAGAATGGGTTCCCAGGGGCCCCGTTTCCCGCCCCCAGATGCGGGAAGGTAACTTCTCGGCGGAGACAGAGGCCGCAGCAGGCGACCGGCCAGGCCGCGGGGAAGGCGGAGCGAGAGCGGGTCACCCGGCCTCGCGCCCTGAGCGGCCGCCCG